CTCAACTCAACTCAACTCAACTCAACTCAACTCAACTCAACTCAACTTGACGTCAGTAATTCAAAAATGATGTGAAAAATTCAGTGAAATGTGCTACAGAAAAAGTATGGGTATCAAATCAAATACGAAACTTTGTAGAATTCAATCACATTAAATATTTTGGTGCATAGGGACTGGTTAGTATTGAAAATGTCCTTTTAAAATTTTATCCTTGCATTTTCGCTATATTTGTTTTTGAAAAAGCTATATCTTAAGGCCCTACATAAACTTTATCAGCTTAAAAAATTATCCTTTTGGATCCTAAAAATTTTAATTTTTTAAGTTCTAAAGAAATTTCCTCTTTCATTTGATACCCATATTTTTATTTTACATTGCAATGAATTTTTTAAATAATTTTTGGAATTAATCACATCTTTGAAATTACAAAGTCCTTTAAAATAAATCCTGATGTAAGAGAGAAACAAATAATAACGCCACTTTGAATAAAAAATAGGTTGCAAACCCTTTTATTTATTACTTATTTTGTGGTAGGAGAGGTAGAAACAAGTTTCTCAATTTAATTTGTTGAAAATTAATGAATGTCTTAATACCTGGACTAATCCCGGGATCCTGGGATTGTGATAACGACATCCCGAAAATCACGGGATCGTAAAAAGCAAAAAAATGTGCATCCTTAGTACTTACGTACGACGTGGTATTTTATGGTACTTGTATTCTCACTAGGGTGATCCAAAAAAAATGAAAATTTTAATGCTCTCAACCCCTATGATTGTTCTATAATGAAAAATATATACCCCAGTTTTTTTTTAATTAAAAAAATAATTAGGTGTCGCTCAAAGCGCTCAATATTTTCTATGTATTTATTTTATGTGGGGATAATCAGTTTTTCGTATAAATGGTTTGGAATTCTTTAAAGTCAATATTATTTTATCAGACTACCCCTTTTTCACTTAAATAGTCTTCCAGTAAAAATACCTTATTATTTATTTAACCATTTCTTAATATTAACTATTTTTTTATGTCCCCAAAAAACATAAAAAGTTGCGAAAAAAGTTGTTAGTATTACAAAGTTGTAAAACAAACAATTGGGTACTTCTCCGTGAAGTCTTCTGATCGAAAAATATTTTCAAGAATTCTATACCATTTCCACAAAAACCTATTTCTTTCCTCATATAAAACACATGGAAAACTTTGTGCGCTTTGAGCGACCTATAAATATTTTACGGTTTCGAAATAAAAAATGGCGGTATATTTTTTCGGTAAAGAACAATCCTAGGGATGAGAGCAATGAAATTCCAACTTTACTTTTTCTCGTGCATTTTTGGACCACCCTAATGCTCGCATGTACATACAAAGCTACATGTGTACATAGTTAGTATATACTATGTATCTATATATATGTATGTACTAAATATTTGAACGGAAGTGTGTCGCGAGTATAAATGTGCATTGTCGTGTTGGGCGAACAACTTTGATGTCTGCTGTTGTGGCTGCAGGCTATGGAATTAGTAGCACACAGATATTGTTGACAGTACTAAAGCATAAATGCACATAACACTCGCAAATAAAAACAAACATAAACCAAGTCAAATGTCTAACACCAAGTAAAAATCTATTGCAAACATTTACTTACGTATGTTTGTGTATACATACATGCATACATATTGTTACCTTAATATACAAAGGTTTTATCTCACATCGTCGCTGAAATACAAAACGGCCTTAAATTACTAATTAAAAATCCACAATTCACTGATTGATTATGATGCATTGCAAATCCAAAGTTCAGATTTTGTTCAAAAATTATAAAAATTCTGCAAAATTTTGCCAAATTTTTTAACTCTTAAAAAAATTTTTGACAGCTTTGTAGCCTATTAGACAATGACTTAACGTTGATTTGTGTCAATTTTTTGTTGACGGTGTTCCGCATTTCCATACAAAATATCGTCATTACCATGTCACACTATCGAAAGTGCAAAAATGCTTTTTCAATTATGATACCTTGTGCACACGTTTAGAATTATACGCAAGTAGGCATATCGCCAAATTTCGAGTCTTCTTAGGGCCCATTTCAGACGGCCTATTTTAGTAGAGATTGTTGATTAACTTCAACAATTCATTTTAAGATCGTACATTTGAACTGCACTTAAATGGCCAATAGTGACTATATAAATTGATTTATGCAACCCTGTGTTTATACTAAACCACCAAGATTGATAAGTAGGTTGTTTTATCATTCTTATAAAAGAAAAATCAGCTCTTCGGTGTTGGCACTTGTTTGGCAAATTGATCTGAAACCCAACGAAAGTTAAATGGCATTTAAATAACAATCCAAAATTATGCCTTAGCGCCATTTAAATATTCATTTGAAATTAGCCCTTACAAGCAGAGGATGATGGCTTTAACAAAGTGTCGAATCCCATACCTTTTCCAAATGACAACAACATTTTTTACAACACTTTTTTTGCTCTCCTAAAAAGTACCCATTTTCATTTTCGTTTTGTTTGACATGGTAGCGACGATATGTTCGAAAATTTTTTTTATAGCAAAAAAAAAATATTTGTGAACAAGTAGGAACCCTCTGAAAACATATTTTTGAAATAGAATTTCTTTAAACCTTCATCTTTGATACCAATATTATAGTATTTGACGCACCTTGTTAATTAAAACTGTATCTACTTCTTAAACAGGTGGCAACTTTCTTCAAAAAATTTCTCGAAATAAATCGTTTTCGAACTTTTTTCGTTTGATATTCACATTGTTATTTTATATGATTTACTAAATGACTTATTGATTCTAACTTTTGAAAGGTGGCAAAAGTCTTCAAAAATATCCTATACGTATATTAACTCAGGTTATAGCCAAAGTTTACTAAATTTATTCAACGGTTCTTTTCTTTCACATTTATAATATTAGTACAATGCAACATTTATTGGAGGCAGAGTGTGCAGGTTTGGCGATTTTTTTTTTTTGATATTTGCGCGTAAAAATTTATGAAATTGCCATTGGCAATTTTTGGAGATGTTTTCCTTAAAAAAAAATTGTTTCCAATTATAAAAATATACAAAACTTAGTTTTACACGATAATTTTACAGAAGAGGCTAATCAACTGCGTGATAAACTTGACTTAAGGAGCATACTGAAAGACTGTCAAGAGTATTTAATCACCCTAATCGAAGACCTTTTGAAACGATTACCTAGTCAATTAAATACTTTTAAAAAATCTTTGATTTTGTCACCAGAAAAGTGTGTGAATCAGAAGAGGTATTATATTCGTTTTTGGTTTTAAAAACTATATTATAACAAGATCTCAATTTTAAAATAAAAGATTTGTTAAATCGATTTCATGAATTTAAAAAAGGCGATTTTTGGCAATTTTTTTCGAAATCGCGCTTTTTTTTAAACAATCTGGACACCCTGATTGGAGGTCGAATACACCCACAGCTTATTTCGCTGCCCCATGTTATAGTATGAAGAAGAACTTGCCAAGGCTGGGTGTGTAAGATTTTTTTGAAATCGAAAATCGCAAAAAATAACGTGAGTACGGCTGATACACATTTACATATCGTTACCTTAATTCACAAAGAACCTAACCAACATATCTTTTATTTTCCAAGAGAAGTAAAAATATTATAAAAAGAGTATCAAATACAGGTAGGCCTTTTTTAAAATTAGCATGTAACTCCGTTGTTTTTGGTGCTAACACTTTAAAAAAAAGTGTTATTTAGTTAGGGCCTTGTGAATTGGGGTAACGAAAAATGCTTAAAATGTATTAAAAAAGTATGTACATTAAATTGTTTGTGACTAGAGGTTATATTATTATTGTTTTTTTTTTTTCAATCGCGATTTTTTTTAAGATTTTTTTTCTGTCATTACCAGTTGCAGATAATGTTATTTATTTCTCTGTCGCATTTGTAGCGATCAATGGAAATTGGTATTCAATATTTGATTCAAACGTCGTCGCTGCGCAGGCTTTAACCTGAAATAATACCTTTGTGTGTGTATAAGTTCGCTGCGATTGTGCATGGGTGGCCACAAGGTTGTAATGCACAAATGCCTGAAAGAAAGGATAATTAAATTTTATAATATATATATCCATATATGTATGTATATGTAGGTAAAAATCCGGCTACAAATAGAACACGCCATTCAAAAGTGTACCTGAATTACTATGATAATATGATGGCGCTTACACTCCTGGCTGAGTTTTAGGCCAAGCTTTTCCTCCAATTTGAGGTGTGTGTGTATAATACTAACGGAGGCACCTGCGAATGGATTTTATGGCAAGCTTTTTCATAGCAGAAATACACTCAGAGTTTTGCCATTTCTATTTCTAATTTAGATATTGCTCGGACCAGATATCGATCCCAGGTCCGGCGGATTGGTAGCACCTCTAACCACTCATCTACAGCGGTCGCCCGAATTCGAAAATGTCAAAATACAAAGCTCAGTCGTTTTCATTTCCAAATCAGAGCAGATGGAACTTTCCAATATTCAAAACCACGCCTGAATTTTAGTTGCACGTAAGGTCGAACATTTTAATCTGCAATACCGTAGGAATAAAAGAAACTAATGCTTTGTATTTTTACATCTTCGAACTGTTAAATAACCTTGGGGGAGTCTTTCGTTTGACAGAAAACTGCGAGGTCTCGTTTTTCACGATGGGAATCGAAATTTTACCTAATAACAAATTTTTCCGCTTTTTAGTGCATAATAAGAAAAATTACAAATCTTGAATTAATACACTTTTGAAGAACATGTCCGATATGTAGATATGTAACTTAATTTTGTAATGTGTCAGCGCCAGCTTACCGATTAAAACGCGCCGCCTCGTAAGCTGTATTCAAATTATTCATTATTTGACTGATTTCATATTGAAATTGCTGTTCGTACGTCTTCTTGCTTTTATGATAACGATCGCGACATTTTAAGTGGCTAAATATAATAAAGATAATCTTCTCTTGAATTTGTTTTCCCGAAGTTTTTTCTTTTGTATCATATTTTTACTTACTATGGCACCGAGAACCTCGTATAGCTTGGAATTCGACTATCGTCGCGCCAATCTTCTTTCTTCTTTTCATCTTTAGAGATTTGTTCATATAGTAGCTCAAGCTCACGTTGCAAGGAAGGTACGGAGTCATCGATGTCTGCTGGTGTTACCAATGAGGCGATTTTGGAGACTTTCTTTTCTGCCGGCCCACTGATTAGTGACATTTTTTTGAAAAATTAGCAAATTTAGATTGTATATTTTAAATCTTTATTCCGCTTTGGTTTATTTTTGCAAATATTGGTGTTTTTGGTTTTACTGTTTTTTTTTCGTTTTATTATATTTTTTTGTTTTTTTTTTTACAACTTGGAATTGTTTTCACTTATTGTTTATTTAAAAATTTTTGGAAGAAACGTCTCCCCAAATTTTTTCATTCTATTTTCTTGACTTGATTTTCAAAGATTTTGAATTTCACTTTTATACATATTTCTTATTGACTAAAGGCAGACCTCCATATCATACGCGTCTTTGCATTTTCGTTAAGTAGCTGTTAGACATGGCAAGTGTAAGTGCTATTGTAAAGTCTGGCAA